CAGCACGTATCTGACAGCCTGACAGCCAGAGTCTGACAGGCGAGTCGGAGGGGGGTCCCGTCGCTGTCAGACCTATCGGGGACAGGGTGGGGAGATGGTCGGGAGACGGTGGGAGAGGGTGGGGAGGAGCAACCGGGGCGGCACCGTGTTTGTCAGGTGCTCCTCAGCTCTATCTCGACTCGATCTCGGCTGCATCTCGACTGCATCTCGGCTGCATCTCGGCTGCATCTCGCACCGTGTTTGTCAGGTGCTCCTCGGCTCGGATGACAGTCGAGACCTTCATGTCGGCGTCGTCGACGGCGACGCAAAAGTTGTACACCGGCATCCCCCCGCTGCGCAGCAGGATGAAGTCTCCCACCGTCGCCTGCACGTCCCACTCCACCCGGCCGCGCACCGCGTCCTCGATCCCGACTACCTTCCCGTCTGGGACGCGGAAGCGGACGGTGTACGGCTCGCCCGCGTCGAGCCGGCGCTGCACCTCGGCCGGGTCCGCGTCGCGCCACGTCCCATCGTACTGCGGGTTCTCGCCCGCCGCCTCCGCCGCCGCCCGCTTCGCATCGAGCTCCTCCGGCGTGCAAAAGCAGCGGTACGCGGCGCCCGAGTCGAGGAGCTTCTGCGCGAGCTCCTGGTAGAGGCCGCCCTGCATCCGCTCGGACTGGCGGTACGGCCCGTGCGGCCCGCCCGCCGTCGGGCCCTCGTCGTGCACCAGCCCCAGCCACGCGAGGTCGGCCAGCACCTCGTCCTCTGACTCGCGCGTCGAGCGGGCGGTGTCCGTGTCCTCGACGCGGAGGAGGAACTGGCCGCCATTCTGCCGCGCCCACAGCCACGAATAGAGCGCGGTCCTCGCGCCGCCGACGTGCAGCGACCCCGTCGGAGACGGCGCGAAGCGCGTGCGTGCACCCGGCTCCGAGCCGGCTGCGGCGCACATGCGAGAGCCGCGTCCGCGCGCGAGGCCGCGGACGGCGGCGGCCGCCGGGCCGCGCGGCAGCGCACCGCGCGCGACGCCGTACCCGAGCGTCGAGAGTAGCGTCACCATCCACATCGGACAGCGGCGAAGGGAGAGGCGCAGCTGGAGAGGCGGCGAGGTGCTTATTGCGCTTTGCGCAAAACGAGAAACGCGCCAATACCCTACCTCACCTCACCCCACCCTACCACCACTTACCTCACCGGCGGCAAGGAGTCATATCTCCCCCATATCTCCCATCTCTCCCACCCATCTCTCCCCATATCTCGACTGCAGGGTGCAGGCGGCCAAGGAGTCGACGCGAGGCCGGCTCCGCGAGAAGATGGGCACGATGAAGAAGAAGAAGGGCACCTTCGCAGGCGATGACCATCTCGCTCGAGTCATACCTCCCCCATATCTCCCCTATATCTCCCCATATCTCCCCATATCTCTCTCTCAGTTTGTTTTTTGATATCTCGTCGCAGGCGATGAACATCTCGCTCGAGGGGCGAGGCCTCGACCGGCTGTAGCCGCTCGGCCAAGCCCCCCCCCCCCCCCCCTCCCAAGGTCCGCCTCGCGGTGTCCTCCTCGCCCCATCCGCGCAGCGAGAGGCCACGCCAGTCACCAGACATGTCCCCGTTCTCTCGTATCTGTGCTCTCGCTGCGAGCTGGCCGACTGTGCGGCAGCTCTGCAGCTCTCCCTGCGCGAGCCTCAGCCCGCTGCCCCCTGGCCCTGCGGCTGCGCGACGCAGCACGCCGCCAGACGCACACCTGGCGGTCACCTCAGGCGGCTCCCCGCCCTCCCCTCCCCTCGCGGGCGGCGGCCCTGCGGCCTGCGCTCTCCGCAGCTCACGAGTAAAACAGAAACAACTCGTGTAAAATATGAACACATCCGAACACACCGATAGGATCACACCCCTCCGAGAACTATAAATCACACCTGGCCGGACACCGTGGCGCACACCACTTGCGACTTCGTGGTGGTTGCTTGTGCTCCAGCGCGGCGTCGGAGTTGGAGCCCAGCGCGCGGCGCATCGCAGATCGCACGTCTTCGCGCGACGCGGCCGCCGCCGTCACTTCACACCAGCTGCATGGCCGGCGCCCCGGCCGTGGCCGCATCTGGCTTGCTGGCGCGCGAGCGGCGCAAGAGTCCGAAGGCCAAGAAGATGGCGGCAAAGGCGCCTATCACGGTGCACTCGCGGCTGGTACTGTTGGTGGTGCGTGGAGCCTCGGCTCGACGGTGTGTACTGGCGGCACCGGTTGCGGCGAAGACGCCGGCGTGGGTTGCGACCAGCTCGCCGGCCTCGTCCTACAGTGCGTAGGTACATTCACGCAGGGCGGGGAGGGGGGGCGGTGGAGAGGGCGCACAATCTTTCGAAGGTAGTTGCGGGATGGCTTGCACTGGCTATACCAGGCGCTGTCTGCAGTACAGACGGAGCCAGCTTCACAACAGGTGGCGCCAGTCCAGGAGTTGCCGCCGCACTGCGCCCATTTTAGCTGACAAATGGTAGGGTTGCCGCCCGGCATGCCTGGGCGCGGAAAGACTGCGGTCGGGCAGCCCGCGTAGCCAGGGTGGGCCGCGCACCAGGCGCTGAGGCTCACGCCCTTCTGGCAGGCCATGCACGAGGCGGTCATAGCCATGCAACACACTGTAGGGTTGCCACCAGGAGCAGGGTGAGGTGTGGCCCACCAGTCGCCCGAGTGGTGGTTGCCGCCGGAGGTCCCGCAGCCCCAGCCGTTGCACCCTTGCGCCTGCCAGTCGCCCGTGTGGTGGTTGCCCTCGATCTTTCCGTTCACCCCTTCAGCCTTGTATTGGCCCGTGTACTTGTTGGCGGTGTAGGAGCCCTGGTGGTTGCTCGCAGTGGTCTGGCCGGTCCATTTGTTCGTAGTGATCTTTCCGCCCTTATAGTCGGTTAGCGTAGTGGTGCCGGTCAGGTGGTTAGTGTGTGCGCAGCCCCGCCAGTCGCATCCCCCCGTTACCCACTTCTCGGTCGGCGGTGCCGCTTCTCCCGCAGCCTTCTCTGTCGGCGGTATGGGCTGCGCGGAGACCGCCGCCTCCGTCGCCTTCTCAGCCAGCGGGGCGGGCTGCGTGAGCACAGTGACGACGAGCGGGACCAGCATGACGCGCCGGGCCCAAAAACTAGAGGAGGGGGGGATCTGGGGCGCCGTATTTGCCGCGGTTTCTTTTTCATTCGACTGAGATTGTTGTGTAAATTCTTTTTATAGCTTGTTTGTAGTTTGTCAAAAACTAGAAAAACCGGCGCGAACTCGTGCGGCCACGCACGTGTGGCATCCGAGCGCGTCATGTTGACCCCAGCCGTGGTCACCAAGAACAGCACGACTGGCTATCAGGCCGCCGAAACTTTTTCCGCATGCTCGGGTCCACACCCGTCTTTTCTCCACCGTCAGGCCCTCGCGCCTGACTGGCCCTCGGCGGGCGGGCCCACGAGGACCCTGCCAGTAGCCGTGGGCTTAATCTTCATTGCCGCTGGTCGCCGTCTCGCTCAGAATGCGCACGACTTCCGTGAATTCGGGCCTACGGGCACGTGCGCAAGCCGGTTAGCCGCACACGTCGACCTCACACCCACCTGGACAGGTCCTTCTCTGCACCGAACTGAGTGCTTCGCAGACCAGCTCGCCGCCATCAGGCTGCGGAGCGGCAGTGGCCACGCCTTGGCCAGTGGTGGGCGTTTTCCGCCGCGGCACGCCTGGGGAGGGGGGGGGGGGGAGAGGCCCTCATCTTGCGATGCATGAATCGCGCGTGGCTGCGGTTTGAGCGCTCCACGCCCTCATCGCCCCCGAGGACCTGCCACGCTTTGGCGGCACCGTCGACTTTGTGTTTGACTCGTTGCCGCGATGCTGAGCCGTGAGCGCCGCCGTTGGGTGGCTTACGGGTGTGTGGGTTTGTGAGCACGCACCTCGCGCAGGAACATCTCGGGCGTCATCAGCGCGAACGGCTTGCGGCGCGAGAGCAGGTGGTAGAGCAGCGATGTAAAGGAGAAGACCTCCGCCTGCGGCCGCGGGACGTGCGTTTTGGAAGTTGACGCGGCGCGCGGGCGCCGCCCCTCGAGCGAGATGTGAGTGAAGGGATCCCCGCCTTGTGGTTGTAAGGCAGCGAGAGAGCAACCTCCGGCGCCATGTACCGGAGCGAGCCCGTCACGCCCGTAAGCTTCCGGACGTCGCCGTCGTCGGCCGCGTCCCTCTTCCAGAGGGACAGCACCCCAAAGTCTGCGAGCACCTAAAGTACAGCATGGGCGAGCCGAGGCTAGCGGAGACTGGCCGATATGAGATGAACAGGGGCGCACTGCGCAGCACCGCGCGGCCATCGGGCATGATGCCGACGTTGGCGGGTTTCAGGTCACGGTGCAGGAGCCGGTAGCCAGGCATGAACTCGTCATGGCAATAGCGCAGCGCCTCCGCCAGCTGCAGCCCAACAGATAGGCCTCGGGCGAGGGGCCACTTTCGCGCCTCCCGCTGGCGAGCAAAGAAGCCCACCTCCGCACCCGAAGGCAGCAGCGCACTCAGTGGCTGAGAAAACATCTCCAGGCAGCAGAACGGCACCCCGTCCCCATCGACGCCGTGCGCGACCAGGCGGATGATATTCGGGTGCTCGACGCGCGATAGCACGGCAATTTCCCGCCCGAGGTCGAGCCTGCTGCTATCGCCCAAGGCAAGGCGGGCAGGGCGCAGTCGCTTCAGTGCGACCATGCTCCCGCGGAGGGTGGCACGGTGCACGGTGCAAAACTCGCCCGCGCCGAGCTGTGCCAAGGGCTTCAGCGCTGACAGGGGCACCGCCTCTCCCAGGACATCATCTTCGAGGGGTGGGCTGCTGTAGTCAGCCATCAAGCGGAAGCTCGGCATCGGCAAGTACTCCGAGCTCTGCGTCCTCGACATCGGGAGAGAACTCGACACAGACCCCCCATCGTTGGTGGCGGAGGAGAGCCTCAGGGGAGCGCCGCGCAACTCAGCGAGAGAGGGATCTGGCACCAGCACAGTCTTGGGGGAGTCCTCGCGGCCAGGTGACGACGACGTAGGGCCCGCCTCTCCTGGCCTCGTCGTCTGGGACGGCGTAATGGTTCTGGGAATGTTGTGTCGCGCACGTGGGAGCCGACGGCGAGCCACGTGATGCACACGAAGCGCAGCGAAACGTTCATGAGGACCCCCATTAATTACCCGTTGTTGTGCACGGTGGATGCACTCGGGTGAGATTGCCGATGTGGGCGGAGGAGGTGCGTTCGTTCCCCTCCCAGAAACCGTTCCGTTCTTCCCCCATGACCATGAATGAATACACGGGGGCAAGACTCGGTCGAAAAGAATTTTACAAGTCGTCAATCAATCAAAGCTCCCTCGCACGACACTGGGCACGGGACTGGCGCGCACTGGCACTAGCACAGGTACACTGTGTCGTGCGAAAAAGAAAAGAAGCAGGACAGCCCCACCCTCACGAAGACCCCTGGAATTGCGACTGCCTCGCCGCGTTTCTCCCATGATTTTGTCAGTCAGTGCGGTATGTGGCTCTTGACGAATATACCCGAGAGAGAGAGAGAGAACACAACCCACTCTCTCTGTTCTCCCAGTAAGCTAGATCTACAGTGTACACATTCACAGACCTGTTATTGAGAAGATTTTACGTCGTATGGCGCTGTGCGCTGGTCTATGAGCGAGGTTGAGGTGCGAGCCCTGGATGGAGGCCCGGGGCGCCGGGGGATGGGGGGGAGTTGGGGAGACTACCCGCGTCTCTGCAATGAGAATGTCTCAAAAGATTAGCGTGTCAGAGTGAATTGTGGAACTAGCCATGCGCCTCGCCTAAAGCAAGTAGTTGTATCACAGCGCTATCACGTACACATGCACACCCGCGCTCCACTATGTCTATGACGCGCACAATCAAAGGGAGTGAGCGTTCTCCTCTGAACGCATGCCTAAATCATACACGGCGCCCTTCACTCAAAGAGGGCGGCACAGCGGACAATCATGGCCACTCGCGGCGGCGCGTCCGGCGCGGTGTCGGGCAGGTCGGGCAGCAGGTCGAAAGCCGCGTGGAAGGTGAAGCGCGGCTCGTCGGCTCGGCCGTCGTACGTGTAGAAGACGAGGGCCTCGTCGCGCGCTTAGGGGACCCCTAGGGTTCTGAGGGCCGGAGTTTTTAAGAGCTTTTAAGAAATGAGGAGGTTTGGGGGCTTAAATTGCCATTTAATAGATTGCAGGCACGGGGGGTCCCTCTTTTAAGACCGTTTAAGAAAATCGGCCTCACCAGCATGCGTCGCTGTGCGGCTTAAACGGCTTAAAGCGGGCCATGGCCCATTTTAAGGCTGCCTGGGCCGCCGATTCCTTATAAACGGTCTTAAAAGCTTAAACGGTTCGGGAGAGCTCCCGAGGTCGATGGTCCGGGAGGCTCCCGGTAGACGCCGGAGGCCGGGAAGCTGGTTACAGTCAGCTGGCACGCGTCCCCTATGCGAGTATGGCTCCTGCCAGTGCACCAGACTTACAGATGTGTCTTCAGAGGCGGGTTTGTGCCTAATAACGGCAGTATTGGAGAAAACGGCGCGGAACCCAGCGACGCATGCTGGTGAGGCCGATTTTCTTAAACGGTCTTAAAAGAGGGACCCCCCGTGCCTGCAATCTCTTAAATGGCAATTTGAGCCCCCAAACCTCCTCATTTCTTAAAAGGTCTTAAAAAAATCCGGCCCTCAGAACCCTAGGGGTACCCAAGGTGTCGCGTTTTCCCTTGAACAGTTGATGGGACTGTGAAACGATCGCCGCAAGGGGCGTGAACGCACAAGTGCGTAATGACCGCAAGTGGTCGTGAACACCCCAAGGGGTGTGAAAGTACATACTCCATTTATTCACAGATACCATACCAGCAAAGTACCCGAATCCAACTCCACGTGCCCAAGCGCACACCGGCCGGAGCGCCACCGGGGGGTGCCGCCCTCCCGTTCATGAGCCCAACAACACGAATACTATCCATCCTCACCGGCCCCCATCCCCGTGGTCGGTCTCGCTCGCCGCGCCAAGCCGCGGCCCGGTCCGCCCGGCGGCCACAAGGGCGGGGAGGGGGCCACCCGCGCACGCGCAGACGCCGACGTCGTCCGGGGCGACGCTGCCCACGTGGCAGAGCGCCAGAGGCTTGCTCCGCACGGCCTCGCTCGACACGTTGCGCCAGGAGCGACACACAGAACCACAAGACCTGAGGGAGGGTGTAGAGGATGTAGAGTGTAGAGCGCTGAGAGCTGTAGAGATGTAGAGCGCTCTGGAGCGCTGTAGAGCGCTGTAGAGCTGTAGAGCTCTACATCCGCCGCGGGACGAAGCGCCTCCGTTGTAGAGCGATGTAGAGGCGCTCTACAACGTGAAATCTCTACAACAAACTCTACATCATAAGCGGCGAACGAGGCACGCGACGGTCGCTCTCCGACATGAGGCGCGTTGCACTTGCTAGTGCTGCCCTGGCCTTCTGTCTGCCCGCCCAATGGGTGGCAGGTGCCTCTGCTGCTATGGCATGCCTCACGGCTGCGACTGGCCGGCGCCTCGGCGCGTCAGCTCGGCTCGGCGTAGTGATAGTGGCCAGCGCAACTCGCCCTGGACTCAACGCTCAGGCCAGGAGCTCCCGCACGCACTGGCGCGAGTCATGGCGCATGCAACGCGTCTGAATGCTCGCCTCGCCTCGCGCAAATGCGACCGTCCTCGCAGCCGACAGTCCACACCGCCTGCTAAAGAAGCACAGCGACGCTGTGGGCGATGAAGCGGGCCGAGGGCCCAACAGGAGAATCGTGCTTTCAGTGGGGTTGTTTGGTGTTGGGTTGGGTTGGTTGGGGGTTGGGTTGTTCCGCGTGAGGTTGGGACGTCGGCGCGAAGGGTGAGGTCTCGACCGCCGCCGCTCACGCCAGCGGACGGCCACCATCGGTGTTTTTGGCTTCGCCACCGTCCAAAGCGTGCGCAATGCGCTCGCCGGCATCGAGCGAGCACGCCTGTCCGACGAGCGGCTTGCTGTGTGGACGCCTTCTTCTGGCTCTCGTCGAGAGCGTTTTGCGTCCCGGCGGGTGGGAGAGCATGTGTCGTCTGATGTGTCACTGTGTGCGTCACATCGATGTGGATAACAAGCACGGTCGATCCGTCAAAGAGAAAGAAACATTAAAAATCCCAGCTGAAGCTCAGCTCTTCGATGCCCCTCCCGCCGACTTCCGGCCGCCCCGAGCCCTTTTTTGCACGGCCGGAAGCATGTCGAGGTACTGCTTGTGCGTCCTCATAACAGGCGCTGTCGCAGCGACTCTCGACCAGTGCGTCACCGACCGTGCGTCCGGCGTCACCACCTGCGAGCGGGCCGTTCACGATGCGCCTGGGTGCACGGAGATCTTCATCTGTGCCGTCGCAGCGCCAAAGCGATCAGTATGCGAGAGCAGCAGCTGCGCGAGTGTGTGCGTTTGGAGGCAAGACAGCGGCTGGTGGAGCCGCTCGGGTCCCGTCAGCGAGCCGCCGTGCTCCGCTAAGTGCCCCAACGCTACAGCCGCGGCTATTGCCGTCGCCGACAGCCGCGGCCATGCCCACTCCCATGAGGAAGGCGCAGCCGACGCCGCCGTCGCCGACAGCCATGACCATGCCCACTCCCATGAGGACGGCGGCTCCAGGAGGCTCGGCATCACCGAGCGCGCCAGGCAGTGGCCGGACCAGCTGGTCCGTTGGCACTTTGCGAAGCAGAGCGGGAGCCGCGGGTGGGCTCCCGGCTCGCTCTTCCGTGGTGTCGTCGAGGCGGCCATCGCGAGGATCGAGGAGAGCACGTGCATATGCTTCGTCGAGGTAGACCCGGACGAGACGGACGAGACACAGCCCACCTTTGTCGGCAGCAACGAGCCGCGGCTCGCAATCTACGGCTCGGGGTCGCAGGGGTCAACGAACTCCTGCTCAGGGTCTGCGACCGTCGGAGCCTACACGTCTGCGACGATGACGCTGAGCTCCGGCTGTCCAGCCTTCGAGGGTGTCGTCGTCCACGAGTTCTTGCACTCCCTCGGTTTTTTACACGAGCACTCTCGCCCCGACCGCGACGAGCACATCGAGGTGCGGCTTCAGAACGCACAGGTCGGCGCTCGCGGCAACTTCGAACGACTGGATGCGAACGACTGGTACAACATCCAGGGCGACCCAGACAGCAGCTGGGACTGGTTCTCGATCATGCTGTACTCGAGCTCCACCTTTGCCAGAGAACGTGGCTTGCCCACGATGGTCGTCCGGAACAACAACCAGGTGGTCTCGGACGGACGTGGCGGCTCAAAGGCTGCAAATTCCGGTGACACATTTGGGAGCACTCAAGTCCTCTCGCAAAAGGACATTGGCCAGATCAACACCAGGTACAGCTGCGGGCTGCAGACGACCTGCCCGGGCTACGTCGCACCCGCGGTGTGCACAACCGTGCTGGAGCGGAGCGCGTGTGCTGCTCTCGCGGAGAGGGAGCGCAACCCGTGCCGCTGGGACAGTGACCGTGGGCGGTGCGGCACGTGCGCAGACACGCCCGGTTGGCGCATCGACGGTTGGAGCCTCGGCGGTGGCGGCGGTATCGGCTGTGAGTCCCTCAATCTCGGGATCACACTTGGAGGCGCGCCGTTCGACTGCGGCTCCGACTTCAGGGGAGGCGGCATCGCCGCAAGCCAGGCGTGCTGCGCGTGCGGGGGAGGTACCGCGTCCGTCGGCGCTTCAGCGCCGCCACCGCCGCCGCCACCGCCGCCACCGCCTCCGTCGCCGTCACCACCGCCGCAGTCGCAGCCAGCACCGACGACGTCCCCGTCTGCATCGCCGCTGCCGCCGCCAGGCTGCACATGCGGCACCGAGATTTGGTCATGTTGGTTCAACGATGGGAGCGCCTGCTTTGCATTCTGTTGCCTAGCGCCTCCGTCGACAGCGCCACCGCCGCCACCGCCGTCGCTGTCACCGCCTCCGTCGCCTCCGTCGCCGCTACCACCGCCGTCGCCATCCCCGCCGCCGCCGCCGCCATCGCTGGTCAAGGTCGACCAACCAACCGGGAGCTCAGGATGCGGATCCTCTGCGTCTCTCGGAACCGGCTCATACAACGTTGATGTGGACGGAACATCGCGAGCCTATCGCCTCGACCTTCCCACCGACTACGACCCGGATCGTCCGTACAAGCTAATTCTGGTGTGGCATGGGCTCGGAGGGACAGCTGACGAGACCGCCGACGGCTACTTTGGCTCCTGGAAGTATCAAGGGCTCTGGGATCAGAGCGACGGCAGCGCCATCTTCGTCGCCGGCCAGGGACTGTCAGCAAATGGGTTCGGCGCCACTGGCTGGCCAGATAACAACGGACGAGACATCGCCTTCGTGCGTGTCCTGCTCGCAAAGCTCAAGGGCGACTACTGCATCGACGAGGCGCGCATTTTCTCCACGGGCATCAGCTTCGGCGGCATCATGTCCAACACGATAGGCTGCCAGCTGGGTGACCAGGTACGCGCCATCGCTCCCATCATGGGCGCTGGCCCTTTTGGCGATGCCGGCTGCACGGGGCAGGTCGCGGTGTGGCTCACGCACGGGAGCGCAGACTGGACGCCAGGAGTCAACTGGGAGGCGGGCAAGGGCTCTCGCGACTATTGGCAGGTAGCTAACAGCTGCGCGGATACCAGCGTGGCCATCGGTCCGGACGCGTGCGTGGAGTATGATGACTGCGACGCACTGTTCCCTGTGGTGTGGTGCCCGACGTCAAATGGGCACCTACCGCCGTCCTTTGCCGCCGCCGCGATCTGGGCTTTCTTCGACAGTTTGGCGCCGCTGCCCCCTCCTGGCACCGGAACCGGAGCCCCGCCCTCCGCTTCGCCATCGCCACTGCCGCTCTCCGCCTCGCCCTTGCCACCGCCGCCCTCCTCCTCGCCCTCACCACCGCCAGGAACCGGAGTACTGGCTGCATCGCCCGGCTCCGACAGCGCCCGCGGGACGGTGGTTGCGGCGATTGGAGTGGCTATTGGGCTGCTCCTCGTCGGAGTCTTCGTGGCAGCTGGCTGCATGGCTCGCAGTCGCGGCCGTGCGGGCAAGGGTCGAGCCCATCCCATTCGCGGGCGTAGCATCTACAACTCCGAGCCTCGAGGACTGACACGAGGAGCGACCCTCAAGAGCCCACAAGTACTAGCTGCCTCGCACGTCGAGACGCCGCGGCCACCACTGCAGCCATACGCGCGCGGGCGCCCGACGCCACCTCGGCGGCCACCTCCTCTACCGCCGCCCCCGCCGCCCCCGCCGCCCCCGCCGCCGCTGCCTCGGCCGCCGCCGACGACGGCGACGACGACCCCGCCGCCGCTGCCGCGGCCTCCGCCGCTGCCGCCGCCGCTGCCGATGACGACGACGACGACGACGACGACGCCCCTCCGCCCGGATGCGGCTCCTCTCCGAGCCACCGCAGCTCGTGGTGCGTTCATCGGCTCCTCGCCACCTACGCGCACCCAGCCGGCGGGTCCCCGAGGCGGTCCGCAAGGAGGGGTGGCGCGGGCGGTGGCGGCGGCTGAGGCGCGGGCGAGAGGGGGGTCGCCGCCGGGGCGGAGGCCTCAGCAAAGGGAGAGCATCTCCATGGGGGGGTTCATTTGACGCTGCGCGCTCGTGAGCAATGTCCCCAGCCGAACGTAGAGCCGACCTCTGCACATATAGAGCTGACCTCTCGCTCCTCTGCAGCTCTGTGACCTGTCTGTCCCGCGCCGGCACTGGTGGCGAGAGAAGCTTGAGCGTACCTGTCTCCGACTTCTGGACTGTCCATTGTGTGTACTACCTCGCAGTGTTTCTGAGAGCAGCTGTTGAGATGCCATTTTTAGGAGCGACGCTGCCGCACACGTGTCTCTGTCAGAGGCGCTCTGTTGTGTCTGTCTTACGGCTTTACGCTAGCCAGCTCACACCTCGCCCGGAGCCCTCTGGCTACTCTCAGGCCGGCGGCCGCCAGAGCGGCGACCCCTGCGATGACGCCGGGGGCCGACAAGGCAGACAGTGTTGATGTGGTCCACGACGTAGAGGAGCGCTGGATTCCGTTGAGGACAGACAACGCCTTCTCCAGCGTAAGGCTCACCGCCGACAAGGTGAAGGTTGGAGGCTCGCCGCCGATGTCGTTTCCGACGGCAAGCGCAGCGAGTCGCTGTGGCCGTCCCGTCGCGATCGTCCGATAAGTTGGGCCGGTCTGCGGCGGCAGCTCCGGTGGAAACGCGCGATCGTGTGGGGGTAGTCGCTTGTGCGGTCTGGCTAGCCGGCTCTGTGTCTTGCGTGGCGATTGTGGCTGGCGGCTGCGGCGATGCTCCACGACAGCGGCTGTGGCAACCCCCGCTGCAGCTAACGCTATCCATCCTCACCGGCCCCCATCCCCGTGGTCGGCCTCGCTCACCGTGCCAAGCCGCGGCCCGGTCCGCCCGGCGGCCAAGGGCGGGGAGGGGGCCACCCGCGCGCGCTCGCGCAGACGCCGACGTCGTCCGGGGCGACGCTGCCCACGTGGCAGAGCGGCCAGAGGCTTGCTCCGCACGGCCTCGCTCGACACGTTGCGCCAGGAGCGACACACAGAACCACAAGACACTTGATGAAAGAAAACGGACAACCCAAGGGAGGGATGGGAGAACGACGGCACACCGCCACCACACAGGGATTTTAAGGAGAGGGGTGTGATGCGCTAGCCGTCGCCCACCCTTGGTCGTCCGCCTCTTTCTATCTCTCTTCCCAGTCCCTCGCCGCCTGAAACACGCCATTTCTTTTTTTGACGCCGACAGCCATCTGGACCCAGCCATCGGGTCCATGCTTCCCTCAGACGTGTCCGACGACGACGTCGAGACCCTGCGTAGCATCGTCGGCGACGATCTCCCAGAGTCGACGCTGCGCGCGCTGCTCCTGCGGTCCGGCGGAGACGTCACCGCCGCCGCAAACTCGTTTTTCGACGGCGGCGTTGCCACTCTCTCCGCAATGGAGGAGGGTGGCGGCGCGTCGCCTGCTCAGCCGGGGGCGTGCTCGGTGGGAGACGACGTGCTGAGCACGCTCTTCAAGACGCTGGAAGACCAGGGCAAGAAGCTGGCCGGTGACAGCCGCCCCGCGCGCGCGTGCCACCACCTCTCCCACAATGCGGCCCCGCCCCGGTGCACGGCGGGAAGAATGAGGAGGGGTGACCGACCCCCCCCCCCCCCTGGCGTGCCGTCACAGAGCGCGATCAGCAGCTCGACATGGCCACGCGCGTGTGCGAGGAGCTCGTCAAGCGGCTGCGTGAGACGGAGCGCACGCTCGCCTCGGCCGACGCCGAGCGCGCCGAGCGCAAGGAGCAGCGGAGCGAGGTGGAGGTGCAGACCGAGGGGTCGATGGTGGGCGACGCGGACCCGGCGGGCGGGAGCGGCCTCTTCGCCCGCTACCCCCTCCTCCGCCTCGCCTCGCACCTCTTTTCGCCGCTGCAGATGCTGCTCTGGCTCGGGGGGCTCGTGGGCGGCGTCGTCGTGGGTGCGCCGCGCCTCGACTCGCACGCGGGCGAGGGCGAGGCGGCGGCGAGGGCGGCGCCGCCGGCCGCGGTGGGAGCCGGCGAGGACGCCTCGATGGGCGCTGCGTGCGCAGCCGACCGGGCCCCGGACGCCGAGGCTGCCACCACTGCTGGCACGGCTATTGCTGCTGCCGCTGCTGCCGAGGCTGCCGCGGTGTCGGAGGCGGAGGCGGCCAAGGCGGCAGAGTTGATGGACGAAGATGGGGAGGAGGAGGAGTCGGACGGGGGCGAGGACGCGAGCGAGGAGGAGGAGGACAGCGACGACGAGGAGGAGGAGGACGACGAGGAGGAGGAGGAGGAGGAGGAGGAGGACGACGACGACGAGGACGACGAGGAGGACGACGACGAGGAGGAGGAGGACGAGGAGGACGAGGACGAGGAGGAGGAGATTCACGCCGTGCGCGGCGCGGCGGCAGCCTCCTCGGCCTCCGCCTTGGCTCCGCCGCTGCAGCGCTCTGCCGAGGTCGGCGAGATCGCCGCCTCGCGCCTCTCTGCAGCGCAGGCGGCGATCACAGAGGCGCTCGGGCTGCCTCAGGCGCCGGCCGAGCCTACCCGCGCCGGCCCGCGCCCCTCGGCGTCCGCGTCAGCCCCCGCGCCGCGTTCGCGTCGCAGGAGCTGCTCGAGTGTCTGGCGCGCTGGGAGCGCGAGCAGGCTGCGGCCGAGGGCCAGTGGCGGCTCAAGCAGTCGCGCATGTGCCTCATGGGGGAGGGAGGGCCCCTCCGCGCCAGCGGTGGACCACTGACCAGGCGGCCGTTCACCAGGTACCTCGAGTTCGAGGAGCGCAAGCGGCGGCTGCAGGAGCAGCAGATGGGGCAGCGCAAGAAGCTCCGCGAGTCGTGCGACGCGGCGCTGCGGCCGCTCTACGCCGAGGGCGCCGCCGTCTGCTCCGAGCTCGAGCGGCTCCTCGTCGGCCGCCTCTGCCGCCTCTGCGAGCACAGCGCGCGCCGCCGCCGCAGTGCTCCCCCCCCCTTCCCTGATCTTCGTCGGCGCGTTCCTCACGCAGGCGAGCACGCGCCCGCCGCTGCAGTGCCGCAGCAGATGCTGCCGGGCCCGCTCGCCCGCGTGTCTGCCGTCTCGTTTGGACAGTTCGAGTCGCCGCTCCGCGCGCCCGGCGGCCCGTCCCGTGTCCTCGGCGCGTGCGCTCCCCGCCGGCACAACGGAT